GAGAGAGAGGGGGGGGAGAGAGAGGAGAGAGAGTGAGAAAGAGAGAGAAAGGGAAATAGGAAGGAGGACAGAAGAAGAAAGAACAAGAGTTAGAAAGACATCATGAAATGGGTAGTACATTTTCCATTCTACGGTATCCCTTACAACTTGTGCTCAAAAGAAAGTGACAGAAAAATATGTGAGGCATTGTGGAGAAATCAGGTCCTTGTCAAAATAATGAAATTGAAGATATCTGCATTTTTTTCTTTAATTTTTTTTTTTTTGGCTCAACACCTTTTACGTCCATTTAAAAAGATATTTCTACATTTAACTGAAAAATGTTGATTAAACGCTAAACAAATGTAAATTTCCAGTTTCCAAGGACTCTCCGGATTTGGATTTCAACAAACTTTGGCTGCCATTTTCTAGCTAATTTTACTTCTGAAATGAGGCGACCCCAATCTCTTACAATCACAAATATTCCGACTTCTAATAAAAATAAATGAGTATTTTTTCATCGAAACATAGTCAAATAAACAACTTACTTACTTACTACCCGTTACGCCATCTGGCGTTAGGGCAGCAACAAAGGATCTGCAGCTCTGTCTGTTTCAGGCCATCTTGGTCAACGTCTCCCACGCATAATCAAGCTTTAAGATAATACCAATAACTCCAAAAGAGCAAAAATTGACGAGTGCCTCACTCCACCCCACCATGTCGTAGCACATATATGTATAATAAATCAACTGACTCCACCACTGGGATAAGCCTGAGAGCCAAGGTGAGGCATTGTCTTCTCTCCATTCTCTCTTCTCAATTTCTAAGATCCTACGGCTTAAGAGACCGAAGACAGATACAGTCAGAGCAGTAAAAGTAAAGTAAAGCCCCCATCATGCTTCCCCTCATCACAAAAACCACAGCCCGCTGTGTAAGACACTGTGACCTGCATCTGCACATTGAAAATGGGGGGTGGGGTGGGGTACGGGTGGGAGTGAGGGGCAGCAACTTGACTTTTTTTTCGTAAGAGCAAGGTCAGATCAAATAGAGTATTACCTCTGCCACTTGACGACGCAGGCCTGCTTCTTCCAGCTGACAAGGGCATTGGTGATGACGACGAAGACCGACCTTTATCTGTTGTAGCAGCAGGTGTCACATTCTTCCCCAGAGAGGTTACGTTACTTCGACTGCCACACGACTTCCTCCCCTTGGAGGAATCCGCCCCGTTCTCACTTTTCGACATTTGCGTTTGAGTCTTCCCCACATCTGTACCTCCCAAGTCAGCTGACTGGGAAGATGCTGTTCTTTCACATCCTGACGCCTCCCCCCTCTTCCCAGAAGTTGCATTCAAATTGGGTCCTCTCCCTTTCTCTTCTGATTTATGCAACTGAGGAGAGATGATAAGATCATAATTTGCCTATTGATTTTTGTACATTCTGGGGGCACTTCAAAGCGGGATATCTCAATTTCTTTACGAATCAAAAAATCCCAACTCATTTCAGTTTCTAGAAAAGTCAATTTATTGAAAAGTTATTGTAAATACCAAAAAGCAATCAAACTGGCGAGCTGTTTCAAGTAATTTTACCAAATTCCAAACTTTTCAATTCATAAATAATTTTAAAATTCAAACAAATTTAGACAAACAGCAAGTTCACTAAAGAACATGTTGTCAAGAATAGCAAGCTCAACTGAAAAGTTGCTCTGAAAAACATTATTGCAAGTATCATAGTGCTAGCTGCCCAGCTGTATAAAGTAATGAATGTAATTTAATCCACTCAAATGTTCAAAGCATTTTGGTTATAAATAAAACCACCATTTATAAACAAATGTTTGTTTTGGTATGTGTCGAGCACGATCGCAACAACATATGGTTATATATGAGTGCGTGGGTCACATTAAACATTTTTAGAATAGTAGTAGTAATTTTGAATCTTGCCCGCAGGGCAGCTGAAGCCTACTCTTACAGATATTTTACAACCAAGGGATCTTTAACGTGAGCAACTTGCACATGAGACCTCCTGAGATTTTTTGCCCTGAGATGATAAACAAAACAATGTTGTCCAAATGATAGAGATCAGTCTTGTGGGCCATGAAACTGACCTGCACACTCCCTTGTTCACTTAGGTGAAATTGTGGACTTTTAGATTATTCCAGTCGAACTTGTATTGTAAACATTTCCCTTGTCCCCTTTGTCAAGGAAGGATAAGTCTCTTTTTGCATATGGTCGCTTCTAAGGATAAGGATAAGCAGGCTAACCCAGATTTCGGGGGTTTCCAGAAATCTTGACCTACACCAAAATTGTGCATTGCCCTCATCATCATCCGGTGCCTTGCCGACTGGCGTGGGCGATCATGGACCTCCACTTCCATCTGTCTTTCGAAGCAGCAATGGTGTCTGTTGTTCTTGCTGCTCCCAACCATGTTGTCATCTTGTCCAGTATCTTTTCCCTCTGTCTGCCTCTACCTCTCTTTCCATCAAACTTTCCTGTTGTTACAATGTTCTCTAATGCTTCTTTCCACATTATGTGTCCTAAAAATTTTGCCTGTCGTTTTCTTATATTCGTGATAAGTTGTTTTCTATAATTTGCTTCAACCAGGACTTCTTCATTTGTTTTTCTAGCTGTCCATGGGATACGTAGCATGCGTCTCAACTCTGTCTGATATTGTCAGGTACCCCTTAAGTGTCTTCGATGTTGGCATGTCCATGATGACCGCTACTCCTCTTTCATGTTTGTCGCCTCCTGAGTAAATGATGTTATATCTGTCGGACAATATTCTGCCAGCTCCTGTCCATCGTACTTCACATAAACCCATGATGTTAACATTCATTCTCTTCATTTCTTTCTTGATGTTGTCCAGTTTTCCTTTCTCTAGCAATGTTCTCACATTCCAGGTTGCTATGTTTCTTGTTTGATTTTTCCTTTTGTGAGCAGTATCTTGATGACGATCTGGTGTCACCTGCTGTGCATGACTGACCCTACCGGACGAGGCCGTTCTTTCAGAACTCCCCTTTACGTCTTTATCTTTATTTATTGAAGTAAGATCCATGATGTTCTAGGGAAGGAATACAGCAGTGGTTTCCCCTTGCCTTCTGCTGGATTTTTGTACGGTTTACTCCGCTAGCCTTTGTCCAAAAGGACTAACCCACAAGCATTGCCCTACCTATGGAGAAATTTGATTTCATGGGTGTATATATTTTTGTTTAGTTATAGAGAAACCTCTCCGTGTCTTTTAAAGAAACTGAACAAGGGGCAAAAACTTTACCTCCAATTTTCTCAAAACAGCATTTTTCAGGATAGTCCCCTTGTGCTTAAAAGCGACCGTATAGTCCTGGATGCATAACATTTACTACCACGTTGACAAGTTTTTGACGTAACTTATAAATATCCGACAACAAATAGGGAGACATGGCGAGAAAAAGAGTTTTTAAAAGTTCTTTTAGCATCCCACTGAGCTGTGGGCAGCCTGACACTGCCCCCCCCCCCCTCCAAGGGAGTTAAATCTCTGTACGACTTTTTCATTCCCTTTATAACAAAAGACCAGGTCACTTTTATCGGACAGAGGACAGTGTATCCTATTTTCATAATGGCTCTCACTTATTACTTTACTTTTACATCCTCTGTTGCTGTTAAGTGTCGAGGGGAGACGTAGTTTTCTAGAGTAGGCCAGCTCCACAGCTCTATCCATTGGGATCATGATTTCTCAGGGTTTCCTTGACTCCCTCAATCCATATTTTGCATAGTCTACCTTTTCCTTTATAGCCTGAGTTCTTCGTGTTATAAGCTCTTGAGGCTGGCTGGCTAGGTGACATTCGTAGCAGGTGATCAAATTATTTTACTCTCTGTTTTTCTATGAAATGCAGGCAGGACTCAGTGCAAATAGTCGCCCTTACTTCTTCATTTCTTTAACCTGTCTCTTCTTGTGACGTCAAGGGTTTTGCGGAGACTTTTGATCTCGCAGGCAGTGATTTTGTTTCCATGCTGTTTAAGTATCATAATGAATACAGTGGATCATGAGGAATTTCTACCCTGTCATATTGTGCAGACATTCCAACAACAATCCTCCCCTGTGGCGTCGGTGGCCTAGTGGTTATGCTCTCGGACTCGCAACCGTAAGGTCGGGGGTTCGAATCCCGTCAGGGGCCCGACGTTGTGTCCTTGGGAAAGGCACTTTCCACAAATTTCCCTCACTTCACCCAGGTGGGAATGGGTACCCGGCTATAGATAGCGAAAGATCTTGTCAGTTTGTTAGTGTTTGAACGCTTAATCAGCTGCTTGCACTGTATGCTTCCCAGGAAGCTGAGAATGTTTCGGAGTGTTCTATGGTCTGCTGGGGTAATAATATAGTGTATAGCGCATAGAGCCTGCTGTTGAGTGGGGATATGCGCTATACAAATGCTATTTATTATCTATCATTATTATTAAAAATTGTATAGTTTGCGGGGAAAAAATCAGTCTCCATAATCCCAGTGGACTAAGATTACATTATGAACTGTCCATGGCAAATAAATGTGTTTCACAATATTTAAGCAAACAAATTCAAATCAAACGAGTATTTTCAAGTCAATAATGATGTCTCACAAACATTGAAAATAAACCTGTGTATTTTCATGTCATTTACGATAAGTTGCATACAACTAATAGAAACAGAATCCAAGAAAAAAAAAAGATTTAATGCAAATTTGATAAGGGGTCTCCAACAGGCACCAAAAAGTCAGAAGGCTTTGATTTGATCAGAGTACTTGGCCGGTCTGTACAATATGATCACTCCTTTTGTACAAGGGACAAAGTTATTTTGATCTGCCAGAGAAGCGTACATAACAATAGAATGAAAACATATTTGATGTCAGCAAATCTGCAATATGCCACCGTAAAAATAAAAAAAGTCATGAATGCTGAGCATCTATTAATGCATTATATTTTCATGCTTCATGAAGGTAAAAAAAGAGTGGCCAAAATTCCACAGGGGACACACTCAAAGAAAACCACTGCTTTTGATTTGGCCTGCAGCATATCCATGAGGCGAACAAGGACAAAGAAAAATTTCCTTCGTATCACTGCTCAATGAAGCCCATTTTGTTCTGTATTCTTCCCAGGAAGCTGAGAATATTTCTTAGTCCAGGGTTCTAAGGTCTGCTGGGTTAAAAATATAAGTTATGAAGCACATAGAGCTCACTGCCGAGAAGGGATGTACACTATACTAAAGCTATTTATCATCATTATTATTATTATTAAGAGCATTATTATTGTTATTGCTATTATTAAACCATCATGGGTTCCTTTTACTTAATTTTCATAAAACTTGTGCGATCTCCATCAATAATCAGGAATGAAATGACAAACTACAGCTCTGAAAGAACAAGACTGGGACCAACCTTTCCTTTAGACTGGCGAGCCTGCGCAGCTTTCTGTAAAATCTTGTCAAGTTGTGAGAGAGCTTGTTCCTCTACAGCTGTGAGAGCTGGTTCCTGCGGAGGTGGATGGGGCTCAACAGGCACTCCATCATTTCTCTCAGTGACTGCAAAAGTCAGAACATAGCAAATTTTAAACTAGTGCAATCACCAAAATGAAAGTGCGGAGAAGCAGGCCAAACTGAGGAACACATGCTACAGAAATGTAAGTCACACGGAGCTCCCAGTCGCCAGCCCATTAACAATACAAGAGACACTATATAGGCCAACAGATGACTTGAGCAGGACGGCCTAGAATACGATTGATAGATACCGAACTTCAAGTGTGATGCGATCGAGAAGAAAAAAAAAAGAAAATATAGAAAGAACCACTTCATCTTAACTGTATTAGTTTCTGAAATAAATAAAATGTGAGACCTATTGATAGTCCTGTGTCAACTAAAACTCCCACTAAGAGATGAAGAGCATTAGCACCTGTTTTGCATATTAAGAATTAAATTATTGGCAGTATTCAAGCCCTCCTTCCAAAAGCTCACTTACCCCACTGCAAACTTGTGCTTTTGCCTTGAGATGACATACTTGCAGCAGTTTTCTCCTTGGGCCTAAAATATAAAACAAACATTGCAATGACTCTTTCAAGCTATTCATCATCAACTCACACGGCTTTTGCATTATCAATCAATAGATAAGATGCCAACTACAGCAGAGAACAAGGTGAGTCACTGGGATGAAAAACAAAAAGCTGAAGGAAAGAAAATCCTGACTAGAAAGAAGCACAGAACAAAATATGTTCTCACTAAGGCATGATGCACCTACTGGCTGCACCACCGCACCTTAACCCTTTCATTGCCGAGACGTGTATCTTACATCTATAGTTCATTCAAGAGAGTTTCAAACAGAGACATTCTAATGCCTTTCGCCTTTAAGAATAAGCAACTGCACAAGTGGCAGTTACATCTCATTGACCTTCCTCTTGATGCCAATAGAAAAATATAACAGCAAATCAAATCTGAAGACATAAGCCAATACATGTCTACACAGCAGTGAGCAGGTTAAATAGATGACACAAACCATGGCTTTAGAAGTCCCTTTAACAAACTGCATTCATATTCCAAATCATCACGCCTTTTCTTGACAGCTAGAATCATTTGACGTAGACACTCCTCCATCTGGAAAAGAGAAACAAAGAAAAGTATAAAATACATTAGATCTATGCACATCATATCTTATAAAAGTTTTGAGCTATTTCATCATGAATAATAAGATACCAATTCAAAACTGTTAACCTTTTTTTCAACAAATGAAATTAGAAGGCAGGAATAAAAATTACGAGAAAAAAAACGTATTGAAATTAATTACTTACCTTTAAAAGAAGATAGATGGGGGAGGAGAACACGCCCCTCAACCTTCGATAATTAACGTTTTTAATTTGTCAATTCTGAAGACAGTACCTCTGTACTAGAGTTGTTGCGAGCGGACGGACCGGTTCATTACTCACGGACACAGCCAGAGAGAGCAAGCAATGGATGGCCATGCGAACGAACTGCGAGCCTCAAAACAGTTTGTTTTTTGGGACTGCTCCACTATTTTGTTCTCTCAGCGGGCGAGCGAGCAGACAAACTCTGGCAGACAACAGTGAGCGGACTAAGAACCTCAACACAGTTTACTTTTTGGGTCTGCTCCACAATTTCAATCTCTCAGGAGTCGAGATATTTGTGAATGAAGGAGGTGGAGATCACCTGGTTTCAGAGGTAAAATTAGTGAAAAAATGGCGGTCAGAGATTAGAGTTATTTCCTTCGCTCTAGAGTCCATGGAAACTGAAAATTTACATTTTTGTGCCTGTTACTTTTAACAACGTTTTTCAGTAAAATCCACAAAGAAATGTGTTTTTTAATGGGCAAGAAAGGTGTGGGATTTGGTGGCTGGTGCAAATTCGACACAGCGAAACGGGGCAACTTCCACCTGACTCAGTTAGATTCGTTCCATGCCAAGCCAAAATACCAGATAATATGTAAAATCACATTTAACAAACTATCACATTTCAGTTTAATCCTGTTTGAATAAAATTTAGCATTTTCAAACTAGGTCGAAATCCATGATCGGTCACAATGATATAAATAAACTAGTAGAAATTTAGACTTAGACTAGACTTTTCAACTGTCGCGTGTCAGTTAAGCTAATTCTGTGTATAATGTGTGTTGTGTGTGTGTGTGTGTGTGTGTGTGTGTGTGTGTGTGCGTGTGTGTGTGCTGG